AGAGAGAGAATACAGCCTTAGAGCCAGGTTGTAAATATGTTATTCTGCTGTGAAGTTGGACATTTTAACACAGGGCTCTGAGGAGATTGACTCACTTTTAGATGCAGCCTTGAGTGGACACCTGAGGTACTACAGATTTGGACCTAATTAGAGTTGGACACTCAGATAAAAATCTGTATCGATTGGAAATTATTCTTCCTCTGAGCTTGTTACTTGGGAATTGGTTTACAGCTACCCAGGTCATGACCCCGGTCCTAACTCTCTTGGGCTGAACTCAGACCAACAGGGGAGACCAACTGTTTGTAGAAAAAACACACTCACATGGAGCTCATCTGTTGAGGGACAATGCAGAAGGTTCTGACAAAAACAACAAATGTTGCTCAAATACATCAGTGAAATTATCATGGAAATATCAGAACTATCAAGTCTCAGACTCCAAGGTTATCGGAATAACCAACCCAAGATAAATGCAAGATGTACAACTGAGGCAAAAAAAAAGAAGTCTCCTATGAAGAAAAAATGTAACCAAGGGAATATGAGACAAAACATACCTAGGAGAGAGAAAAAATGAAGAAACAAAAGAAATAAGCAAAGAAAACATCACAAAAAACAGGATTAAGGATGATTTGGGGCTCCTTTTAGCGGTAAAAGCCAAATGATCAGTAACGCCAAAACCTCTTGGTAAATAAGACACATTTTGGTTATGGTTTTGGCTCTTGTGTCAAAGGACGAGACTAACTTCACCAAATACTCCTTAAGAAGCAATATGATATACAGATATTTAAATATATATATCTTGAAAACTATACTCATTAAACTTGTTTTCAAAATCCACCTAAACCCTGATTTCCATCAGAAGTGGAGTTCGTTAGCACCTAATTAGCTATGCAGTCTGCTGTGCACAATCCTTCCCTTTCTCTCACCAAGAGAAGAAATATGTTTGTTTTACTCATGGCTTCATTTTTGGGTTTGAAAAGGAAAGATTGACAGTGCACCTGTGGGCTGCCAATGAAGGAGTGACCCTGAAAGAGAGAGGGGGAGGAAGAGGAGGAGTGGCAGCGGAGAGGTTCCTCAGCTCTGCAAACCACTTCAGTTCTCACTTGAGTGCCTCTCTTTGGGCCTTCACCCACACAGACCCCCCCCTCACCGCTTCAGATTGAAATTCCTCCACGCTGCAAGACCCTGTGCTCCCCTCTTCCCCCCGCGCCCGGCACACACCGAGGGGCATTCAAAACGCATTAACACCAAATCAATGGGAAACAGTGAAAAAAGCAAAAAAGAAAGAGAGAAATCTCCTTAGCAACATAATCTAGACGGCCTGACGAGCCGAGAAGTGAAAAGAAAAGAAAAAAGAGGGGTGGTGGTGTCGTTTAGGGAGGGAAGAAGAATCGGACACAAAGGCCTGGCACACAGACAGCAACAAAATTGAAAATTAACACAGAAGAAACAGTTCCTTTTTTCACAGGAGCACAATCAGCTACATTAAACCCCAGCCAGGGCCCTCCTCCTCCTCCTCCCCCTCCTCCTCCTCCTCTTGCTTGCCTCTGGATGGAAGCTGGAGAACATGGTGAAAGATAGTAACCAAATACTCTTATTTAAATAAGCTAACTCACTGGCATTTTGGAAGTTGTGTTGAAATTCATTGTCAAACTTTTTTTTTTGGGAACCTTTTAATTTCCTGACTTTGGTACACTGATCGAACCCTCGTGAGATGCTTATTGATGTCATTTTAAACCTGGACTTCGTTATAACACACTTTTGGATCTAAATGAATGACAGATACTCAGACATTTTCAGTGGACCAGTGCTTCCCAAACTATTGCTGCTATGCCCCACTTTGGAGGATGGAAACTTCCCATGCCTTCCCATCAAACACATAAAGAAAAAATACCATACAAGTGTACTTTGAATTTCCCTTCCCAAGCAGCTGCAAAAGCATACCTTGAAGCTCCTGTGAGGAAGTTTTAGTTGGTCAAGAAACAGAGAATTTTTGATACTGCTGCTTCTGTCCTGCAAAAACAAACCAAAACATCAGAATAAAGAAGGCCATTTTATGTGTAATGCCTAAAACCAATGGTGGGAGGTTGGTACCACTCACAGTGCTTAACTGCAAAGTTAAAGGTTGATGACGCCTTATATAAACCCCTCACTTATAATGCACATTTCTAAAGCCTCAAACACATTTAGATTTATAAAAACCATTATAAGTGATTATAAGATTAAATAATGACCTATTGTCACTTTTAACAAGGGTCTTAGGTGGTTATCTAAAGTCTAGTAAAGTTATGATTTATAATGGACTAACCTCAAACCAACAACAGGGTGATTTTTGGGTTTCATGACATATTATAACCCCCACAACATCATCCAGTTATAAAAGATCATGGAGAACTCACTTAGTGTTTCATGAGAAGTAATCATTTCTATGATTTGTCAATGGGAGAATATTTTATAGATACTATTTATGTCTGCTGACTGAGTGAATCTGTTGGAACACTTGTCAAACTTTTTAAATCCATTTGTCATTTACATCCTAAAACTTGTGAGGAAAAACAAAATCTGTAAAGATGTTGCTTTTGAACAGGAAAACCTTGTAATTATTGTTTTAGGTCAGTTATAAAAACAAGAGCTTTTGCACTTTATTCTGATGTGTTTGGGGATTTTTTGCAGCCCAGTCTTTCTGTTGTTCTCTGAAACAAACTTCAGCAGCAAAGTCTGTGCGTTTTCTTCCATTTAGAGGTAACAGATTTAAGAATTAGAAAAATCCTGTCTCAGAAAACTCTTTAACCACGACTGTGCTTCTCTTGTTAAGTGGCTGTTTGTGTTTGTAAGTGTGTTTAACAAGCTTGCTAGAACTGCTGTGTGTGTTTGCAGACCTTATCTGAGTGTTCACAAACACTTGTTGGGGATTTAAGTTGTCTGTTCTAGCCCTTAGACAAACACTCAGTCTGGCTTAATGAACTCAGGCTCTACGTCTGAGGCTGGACAATGCAAAGGTCCCTGAGAACGAGACTGACAGACCCCAGACAAGAGAGACTGGGTCAGGAATTTATTCTTCCCACTGGAAATGTTACAACCCATTTCCAAAAAAAAGGTAAAATGCTGTCTTTAATGTCCAAATTGCTCCAAATGTTTTCAATGGGTGACAAGTCAGGACTGCAAGCTGCTAGTTTATCAGCAGGACTCTTCTACTACAGAGTCATGCTGTTGTAATTCCCGCAGAATGTGGTTTGTCATTGTCTTGCTGAAATATGAAGGTCGTCTCTGAAAAAGTCACTGCCTGGATGGCAGCAGATGTTCCTCTTAAACCTGTATGTGATATTCAACATTAACGGAGCCTTCATAGATGTGGAAGCTATGCTCCCCATACCATCGGGGATGCTGGCTTTGAACTGATAGCTGATAACAAACTCAGGGGTCCCTGTACTCTTCAGAGTGAGGGATGCAATGTCCATGATGTGCAATAAGAATGACAAATTTAGATTTGTCAGATCCCAGGACAGATTTCCACCTTGCCACTTTTCATAGTTCATTTGGTCTCATTTTTTCACAGTTATGTTTGAACAACTGTGGATGCAGTGAGGAGCTGCGTCACAGATGAGTATTAGAAATAAGTTTGAGCTCATGTAGTAAATACCACTACAGAGTTAATGCCATCCAGTCTTGGTTTTGGTGCTTGTCCCTTTTGTACAGAAATTTCTCCAGATTCTCTATATCTTTAGAAGATATTTTCAAATCAAATCAAATCAAATTTTATTTATATAGCACTTTACAATATCCCAAATGGTACCCAAAGTGCTTTACATAAAAGCAATAAAATAACACAAGAAAAAATACCATTATAAAATAATACAATAGAATAGAATAATACAAGAACGATGAAATAATAAAAATGAATATGAAAATAAAATAATACAATAAAATAGTATGTAGAAGTGCTAAAAACCTATAAGTACAGGACTACCTAGTCAGAGTTAAAAGCAAGTCTAAAAAGGTGCGTCTTTAACTTTGATTTAAATAAACTGGGGTCAGTGGTGGTGCGTACATCTAGCGGCAGTCTGTTCCACAGCCTAGGAGCTGCAACAGCAAAAGAACGATCACCCCACTGTTTGAGTTTTGACCTCGGGACCTCCAACAGGCGCTGACCGGAGGAACGGAGGGCCCTGTCATGATCGCGAACAGTTAAAATCTCTGACAGGTAGGAGGGGGCCAGGCCATTTATGGCATAAAAAGTAAATAATAAAAGTTTAAAGTCAATTCTAAAACGAACTGGAAGCCAGTGTAGCGAAGACAGCACAGGGTTGATGTGTTCACGCCTAGACGTGCCCGTTAAAAATCGTGCAGCAGGGTTCTGTACAAGCTGGAGACGGGAGATTAAAGACTGGCTGAGGCCAACATAAAGGGCATTACAATAGTCCAGTCTGGAACTGATGAAGGCATGGATTGCCTTCTCGAGGTCCTGCCGACTTAAAAAGGACTTCACTTTGGCCAGGAGACGTAGTTGAAAAAAGCTGGTACTGACGACAGATCTAATCTGTTTATCGAACTTAAGTCCACTTAAGTTAAGTTCCATTTTGTCCTGTAGATAATAAAATCCACTCATAATTTCACATTTGACACTCAGGAACATTATCCTGAAATTGTTGAACTATTAGCTCACTCAGGCTCTCTCATCTTTCCTTCTGGGAGACTCAGCTTCTCTGAATGTCATTTTTATACCCAGTCATGTTTCTAACCTGTTGCCACTTAATCCCTGGAGGTTTTTCTCTATGAACTTTTTCTGCACCAAGTTTAAAACTAGCATTGATTTTTCTTTTTCAAAAATTGATATGTTGGTTTTGCTTTTTTAATAAAATATAAGCTGTAAATTATTTGTTAATAATCAAATTCTGTTTCTTTTATAAACATTTCATCCAGTGCCCAACTTTTTCTTTTTTTTTTTAAACAAGGTTGAAAAAAACAAAAAACAAAGAGTACCAGTAACTATATTAGGCATCTATTCTGTCAATCTTTGGAGGAGGCACAGTCACCTGCTGGACTCATCAGGTTGTATCCATTTAGGTTTGGGGGTAATTAGCATGGAGCAGGAACTCTGGCCACCAGCAGCCCTGTAAACGACCTCTGACCTCCCCTACATGATCAGCACATTGAGAGGAGGGCCGGCTTTAATTAGGAGGTCATTAAGAGCCAACCTCAACCCACCATGGGACCACATAAAGCCAGCATGCACTCCCACCTGCAATCACAAAACCTGCACCCCGACCAACCATTCAAACACAGCTGAGCGCTGCACAAACGGCATGTCTGTGATTCATTTCTTTCTCTTTGCCTTATGCAAGATCATTAAACGTTGATCCTGGTCCAAAATAAATTTGCTCAGCTCTACTGAAGTAAAAATATTAGATTAATGAAGTGCTTTCCTTTTTTTTTTCAAGCATTTATGCACTAAGAGGTCACATGAAATTTGCTGGGAGGAAAAAAAGGGGTTTAAACCCTGGTGGTTTTTCACAGGATTAAAAATGGAGGAAATGGAAATTAAAAGTGTATGAAAGGCGGTTGAGCTGAGTCTAAAGACGTGACACAACAGAGTCAGATTGAGTATAAAGGTGAGAGAAAATGGATGACAAGGGAAAGAGCGAGCTTTTATTCAGGCCTCTGATTTCACACTCGCACAAAGAGCTTTGGGGACGTTTCATCCTTTTCACATTTCTTCTGCATTTAGTCAGTGTTATTCTGCAGTGCAGTGTCTCCTCTAAGAGAGAGGGAGCGCTGCCCAGAGAGGAGTCAGCTCCATTCACAGCTTTATAAATCACCTCAGCATGTGCAGACCGTGGCCAATCGGCCAATTACGCCCCCCTGACACACCGGGGCCGATAAAGAAGGCCTGGGACAAAGGGATCACAGGCCAGATAAACGACCCTTTAATGAAGTCGCCCACAAAACAGGCCAAAACCGCGCGCCCCACTTACGTATTCCATCACGCCGTTGCCCTCACATTTCCTCTTGCTCGGCCGCAGCGGCAGGCACAGCTGGGGAGAGGGAGACATAGAGTAGGAGAGGCAGAGAGGGAGAAAAATGACTCTGTGCTCTGACACTGCTAAGCCCCCCATCCAAGGCCCCTTTCAGACTTTTGGCCGAACAAAAGCATCTGTTGCCATACTGTGCCGCTCAGACCCCCCCTCACACTCATGCATACTGGAGCCGGGTACGGAGCCTCGCAGGAGCTAAAAGAGGCAGCACAGGGCCGTATGCAGCTGAGGCTGCTCACCTTGTGGCACAAGCTATTGTGAGCCCCCGTTCCAGGAGCTTCTCCATCCATCTTTGTGTCTGTGGGACAAATAGAGAAAGAGAGAGAGAGAGAAACTTTGTGTGACAGAGAGAGAGAGAGGGGCACAGGACTGCAGCTGCAGGATGAATAGGAGAGGGAATGAAGGGATGAGGTGGGAGCAAGAGAGAGAGAAGGGGGCAGCTGCAGGGTGGTCCCACCCTCCGGCCCTCCACCTCCACAGAGTTGTTTGGCTTCTCTTTGGATTCAGAACACAAACAACTTCATGGTGCAGGAGCAGAGAGTTTCTGTCAACCTCAGAGAGGGTCTCAGACAGAGCGAGAGGGAAGAGAGAGGAGGAGAGGTGTTTGTTTACTTCAGAGTTTCATATTTTAACCTCACAGGATAGACCTTAAGCTCACATCCAAAACTTCTATGACACTCATGACTACAGATGTGTGCACACATGATGCACACAGTAGGAACACAATAAATACAATGTCACTGAGGTCTAAAACTGGTGTGCTCCTCTGTTTATTAGTTGCATACTATTTTGTCCCTTATGGCTCTCCATAGTAAAGCTGCTGCTGTGTCCTCCTGCTTCTTGCTGCTGCCTTTTGAAAAATAACAACATGGCTACACTATTTGATGCTGTCAAAAAACTGTACCTGAAACCGTTAGGCAAAACAAGGCCTTCAAAGTTTTGAACTTAAACTGTGCAAAGGATAAACACGCAGCAGTTTCTGCATTTCAAAATAAATTGATTATGATTTTAAATTAACATAAATTACCTATTTTAAATTTTTACTGTATAAGCCACTGAAGTGTATCTCCCTGGAGTTGTGGGTTGTGAATAGGGTTGGGCATGGTCTTGAGCATTGATGGGAATTTGGAATAACTATAATAAAATAATCCACACACCAAATCATTTGCGCACCTGAATTACATGTGAAGTCGATGCAAAGACGCAATTAGACACTCGTACAACTCTGGCGGCGCAAATAACACGAGTTGGGCAGGAGCTGAAAATGTCTCAACTTGAGCGAATATTTGCTTCGCAATACTGCCAGGTGAGGTATGAAAATGGACGGTTGTTCACTGGTATCTAAAATGGAGTATAAACTGATCATGTTGGTGTGTGGGTGCCCCGAATTATATGATACCATTTCGTTCAATGGACAATACCCAAACCGGAATAAAAAGGAGCTCACCTGGAGGCAAGTGAGTGAGGAATTCGGATTACCTGGTAGATTGTAAACAACCTTGTCTTTCACTTGATCCCGCCTGTTGAATTGGCAGGGATTACTGTTGGCAGTTCCGTTGACGCACAAGGGGTAGCGAAGCGAATAAATACTATTCATTCACTTATCTAGATTTGGGCGAATTAAGCGAGTAGACGATTTTACTTGCCCTTGGTGTGAGCGCCCCATAACATACCTATTCTCCTGGAAATGTTCAAATTTTCGATGCCAAGTCCACCAACCAGGCAGGTGAATACCAACGAAGAAGAAGCCACAGGGAGTGGGTGTCTGTGCATTGCAACCCACAGCGGGGGCAGTCAAAAGTTTAAATTTTAGCAGGATGAATGAACCGTTGCTTCAGTGCAACATTTGCAACACAGTTATATCATGCAAAAGAGGGTGCACGACCAACGTGATTAAACACCTCCGAATTCATAGAGTAGAAATAACTCAGTGCCCCATCTTTGACGTCCACTGGTCTTCCTCTAATCAGTCAGAATCAGATATTAAAACAATAAATTAAATCTGTCTTCTGCTAACATTGAGGAAGCAATGTTAGCAATTGTACATGGGTCAACTTAAATATCCAACTAACATTAGCACATGTACTTTTTCATAGACAATCGACCTGACAACAAATATTGATATTTAAATACTGGTTGAAAATAGCCCTGTGAGAAATTTATAATAAAGTTCATGAAATGTTTATATAATTAAAAAATTCATGGGGAAGTTCAGACATTTCATCCAAAAAGAACTCTGGTTAGCGCCCTCATTCTAACCATGCATTATTTTTATCCTGCCTTTTAAAAGAATCAGAATAGAGAATTGTTGGGAACAGCGATAGAAATAAGGAATCGAAACGAGGAATCCAAACTGGAATCACTCATATTCAAAAGATGCCCAACCCTAGTTGGGAGGGTGGGTGGGTTTCAGTATTTGTATCTTTATCCTGCTTGAATGGCCTGCACTTTTTGCTATATTTTTTTGTACAAAAAGTGCTTTATGAATAAATTTTGATTGGTTGATTATTAAATGTACAGCTTTTTAGTTTTATTGCACCATTAAGACCATAAATCATGTTTGAGTTTCAAAAGGTCAGATGGAGGAACATTAACATTGAGTTATACTCACCCATCTGATTTATCTGTCCAGTCTTGATTATAATCATGATTTGCAGAGAAATTAAAGGGCTGATGGGGATCTTACTACAGCAGTTTAAATTTTGTGTCAGTGATATACAGGTCACAGGGGGACTAGAAATTACTTATTTCAATTACCAGAACCCACTGAAGAAACAACCGAGCTGCTGTAGCAAACAAAAGCATGTGCGGTTAGTCTTTGAACCAAATGCTTTAAATTCAGATTTAATAACTCCGTCCACATAAACTGCATGTAAATCTGCAGTGTGCATACTGCCCAGGCAGGTATTCATTCTTACCTTTTAACCTTGATAGAAGAGGACAGTTTCCAAGGTTTATGGAAATTTTGATTTATTATTCTAAGAAAAAAATATCATTTGTCATTTTGCATTGCACTTTTTATACATTAATCATTACTGCAGGAGCCAATCCTGCTATTTTGTCTGACATCTTAATCAGAATAAGATTTTAAACTTGTTAATCTGATCAATATTTATACACTGTTGTTCATGATAGTATTATTCAGCTTACTGTCATAATGTAAAAAAAAATAATCATACTCAATTCAGAACCAAGAATACCCAGATAAGATTGTTTATTTATTTATTTATTTAGTTTCTTATTTTAGAATTTAATATTTTAATATAATTTCTAATAAATTCAGTTTATCCCCATGTAATGAGGATTTGTTTGTGCTCCTAAAGCTCAATAACCGATTTCAAACAACCAGGATTATCGGGAAATGCTGTAAACAAAGCTTTACATAGAAGAAGCTTACGAAAGTTGACTCTTTTGACCAACAAAGCTGTATCAAATTGTATTTGTGTTTAATCAAATTAGCTGTTCCAGGGCTTTAAACTACGCCCCATAAAGTGCATTCAGAGTGCTTTAAAACAGAAGAAGTCAATAAGACCGTTTGCTGAATGCAGTTTGGTTCAGGATAAGTCGTCAGCTTGCAGGTGCAGAAAGAGTGTCACCAAGTTCAAACCCCATGCCCGTCCAACCCCTCACACCCAGCAGTCCCTCCTGCAGGAGAGTCCCAGCGTCTGGCAGTCGTCCTCCCAGACATCAGACACCAAACCTGCAGCCTGCTGCTTGCGTAACCCTGCTCCGGAAGGAAACTTGCCGTGCAGCTAGAATGACCCTTTTTTTTCAACCATACTTCTGTGTGATAAAACATATTTCCTGAACTCCTTTTCTGCCGAAGATCCTCCTCAGAGTGTTTTTCTGATTTATATGCAGATCAGGTGTCATCCAGAGATGCTCCTACAGTATCCTCCTCACTACAGAAATCCCTCTCCCTGCACACAGACGTCTCTCACACACACTTAAAACAAATTTACTCTCTGGGGTATTGTCATGCTTAAGAAAGAGACTTTTAAGAGTGTGTTTAGCATTCAGGTTTGGTCATTCACTCCCCGTCTCTGCCCAGAGATCTTTGTTTGGCCGCTCCTCTTCAAACCGTGGAGTGTCAGGAGGGGCGGGGGGATCGATTTGATTCTAATCGGACCATGAAAAGAACATGATCTAACTACTTTCAGACCGGAGTATATTTAGGCCCACTCCTCTTTACACTCTCCCTCTCTCGGTTCCCCCCCACTTTAGTGCAGCACAATGAAGCTAGCCAATCTAAAAAGCTTTGAATGTCTCGTCAATGACTTTGTGAATGCAGGGGAGAGAGATTTGGAGAGGAGAGAGGGAGCGAGGAAAGCAGGAGAAAAAGGAGGAAAAAAGGGCCAGGGAGCACACATAAAAATTCCAAGAGTTGTTTAAGCGTGGGTGGGTTCATTTGCATGACAGCGCCGTGTGAATGCAGCTGACCTCTTGGACCGCCCCAGTGCTCGGCCGAGCTGCAGCCTGACGTGCAGGCTTTGACCCAGCTCATTGACTCTGAATGGATACTCTGTCAAAGGGAGGGACCTTCAGCTCTCAGCCGGACGGGCATCTGCAGACCTCCTGTTTGACACCCAGCTACCTCCATGCACACACGTAGACACTCACATTCACCAAACTGTTAGGCAGACGTCCAACACTCTCTTATCGGAGACCCTCAGGCCTGTGAGACGCAAAAAGACGAAGTAAACATCCATAGAAACAGCTATAGCATTTACTTTTCTTTGCTTTTTCACAACACACACTCCCTCAGACACACATAGACACATGGCAGGTGCAGCAGAGCTGTTGCACGTGCAGGCCCATCAACACGCTTCACTTGATGGCTCTATGATTTAGTGCATCAGGCAGGTGAGAGGACACAGAGAGGACCAGGGGGGCCGCTGGGCGATGTAGTCTGCATACAAATCTCAGTCACTGCCCTGAACTCTCCCCCCTCCTCAACCTCCCAAACAAAGTTGTGACTCTGTGCAAACACAAAGCTCAGACAGCTCACAAACACACTCTCCATTTATCTGCTTGGCACAGAGCGGGGACGGTGCAGACAGGAGCTCCTGGCCCTGACCTCTGCTGTCTACGCACGGTGAAAAGAAGCCCGCTGCACTTGGAAATGCAAACAGTGTGAAGCAAAACACTTGATAAATTTCCATGAATGAACTCGGAGAAAAAAGGCCGGCATCCTGCAAAGAATGGACGATAATGACGAGCGAGGGTGGTGTGGATTTATGTTGGAGAATCACGCCACAGAAGAAGATATGAGCACTCACGAGGTTGCGTTAGTTTTATAAAATGTTGTAAAAAAAAAAAAAAAAAAGTAGATTTAAAGATAATGCACGGAGTTTAAACTAAAAAGTAATAACACTGTACACATACTTTTTACACCAATGTGAAAAAACTCATTTGGAACAAATAAATCTTAACATTACAAACTATTTCTTTGTTCAAGAATTGATCTATTTGATCAGATCGCTTTTTAAAAGCACTCTGACTGCTGTGATTTCATCTAAAGGTCTGGATCAGAAATGGCAGACCCCACTCTTCTCAGCGTTAATTTGCTGCATTTAATTGATTCTATTTTAATAAGAAGTGGAAGGGATCAATATTAGCATGTGTTTTCAATGAAATCTTTGAAACTGAAATATGGTGACTGACTCCATCCAAGCATGTGATGATGTTTTTAGATTTAAGACACTTAATACCACTTATTAATACTTCATATCCTCACCGGACTGTTCCACTCAGGCTTATAAAAATGAATAGAGATGGAAGTTCAAATAGCTGTAAGTGGGATTAAATCTTTGTCTAATGGCAGATTTTCACATTTAAACTGAATCACATGAAGTAAAGAGCCTGCACACACACACACACACACACACACACACACACAGAGTGTGTTCCTGCGGAGGGCGACTCCGTGCTGCTGCTGCTGCTGCTCCTGCTGCACCTGATGACTCCCTGAATCACCCACAGAGCTCCAGCCGCTTCATGTGATGCCACAAACTGCCCACCGCACAATCAGCTGCCTGTTGTATAAGAGGCTCTGCTGGGATTAAAACACTTTATGAGTTTCTCTTTTAATAAACCTTGTGATACCCTCCATGGATGCCTGCTTCTGAGTGGAATAAAAAAAAAAGAAAAAAAAAATTTACCTCTGCAGTCATATTCAACTCTTTATGTAAACCAGACAGTGAAGCGATATTATAGCAGACTGGTTCCTACATTACTGAGGAACTGTATCTGTATTATTTGTATCAAGTTTTATTTAAGACACAACAAATCAGTTTTTTTAAGAATTGTCATATTCTTTAGAGAGAGAAAAAAAACAAGTAATGTTTTGTTATTTCAATCAAAGCAATGCAACATTAGCTGTTATCAGTAAGCACTCCCCTGTCACAAACTGGAACTTCAAGGAGAACAAGACTCGTAATTAAAATAGTTACAGAGAGAAAAAGAGAGAGAGAGTTGGATAGAGACCAGTAAACAGCCCAAATAGAAAAGGATAAGATAAGATATATCAAGAAAATATTTTATTGATTTCAAGAGGAGAAATTTGTTTGTTGCAGACACTCAGACATAACAGCAGGATACGAGTAAGCATAGAAGATTTTTAGTCAAAAATATTCATAACGATAATGTATAATAAGATTTAAACCAAGGTATACACAACTGCTATTTAAAGATGTGAATGAATGAAAGTCATGCAGACCTGTTACAGGTATAATGTAAGAGGGCGATTAAAGTCAAAGTTATGAGACAAAGTGACACAGTAAGATTTAAAAAATGTTACATAACTTGGTATGAAGATAAATAATCAATCAATCAATCAACTTTATTTATATAGCACATTTAAAATAACCACAAGGGTAGCCAAAGTGCTGTACAGTGACATAAAAACAAATAAAACAATCAAAAAACAAGATAACGCAAGCAGCAATACAGTAATACAAAAGAATAAATAAGTGTATAAATAAGGAGGCTCATGGCAAGTGCTAAGATGATAAAAAACAAATTAACACTACAATGTACTAAAAGCCAATGAGTAAAAGTGTGTTTTTAAAAGGGATTTAAAAACAGTAAATGAGGAGGCCTGTCTAATTTTCAAGGGCAACTCATTCCAGAGCTTAGGGGCAGCAGCAGCAAACGCTCTGTCCCCTCTGAGCTTCAGCCTAGTACTGGGGACCGTCAGTAAAAGCTGATCAGCTGATCTTAGGGGTCGGGGTGGGCAATGAGGGTGGAGCATCTCCGAAATATAGGGTGGAGCAAGGTTGTTCAGGCCCTTAAAAACAAATACTAAAAGCTTAAAATGAATTCTGTACTGAACAGGGAGCCAGTGTAAGGACGCCAGGATGGGGGTGATGTGCTCACAAGTTTCATTAAATATAACATATGGGGAGGGTCGTAATAACAAATTGAAGTCTCAGTAGTTTGACTCAGACTGCTTTTACCTCAAAGGTAAAAAATCTCACTCTGAGGGGGTCCCCCATTGTCCTTATACCACAATTATCCACAGTGTTGACAAGTTGACACAAGACATTGATTTAATGATGATTTCATTTATTTATTTACTTAATAAATAATAAATACTACAAAAATTTAACTCTGTTATCCATACAGCTGTTAATAATGGACAACAGTAAATTAATTAATTGTATCCGAAATTAACTGAAGTTCATGTTAACATGTGCTATATTATTGAGTGTAGCCCCCCTGAAACAAAGGCAGTTTGCAGTGTGCGAGATGCTCTGAAGCAGCTGGGGGTCGCCTCTATGTGGTGCTCCAATGTTAGGTGCCAAAGTCAAACATTTATACAACATGCAACATACACCATTGTAACTGCTTCACATGCACACTTGGCACACAAATTCCCAAAGCTATTGTCAATAATAGTAACATGTAAACTAACTGTGCAACCCAGCTGTAATATATGCTCTGCAGCAGCACAAAATCCTAACATTTACTCCTTTACCCCCAGATCTGTAATGACACAGTGTAAAACAGACCTAGAGCTACCAAACTGAGAACAGTGATGGTATAAATAGCAATTACGTTATCAATAAAAATCAGTAATATGGATGATAGTAGCTTCTAATAGCAATGGCAATAGTTAAGATTAACAGATTTGGTGTTGGTGTTAACAAGTGCAATAATGATGATAGTGGGGGAGGATGGATAATATAAATCTAAATGATTGTAGTTTGGTTTGGGAGAAAAGAAACACAACACTTAAATGGTATTACAAGTGGAAAAAATGCTTTGCAAAAGACCAAAACAAATGCATCACAAAAAGATTACAAAATTAAGTTTAAAAAAATTACAAAATTACGTTTTACTGTTTTTTAAAAGGTTTGATCCTGAGTGATCTTAACTTTAACCGATTCATTTGAAGCAGCTGACAGTTTTTGGTAAAAATTTCTCCCAAGGTTTGAAAGCATTTTTCTTAGTTCTGCATCTTGAAGTAACAAAAAATGAACTAGTTTTTTGTCTTTTGTTTTTTTTTCTTCTGTACAAACAGATAGAAAATGACTGTCTGTGTCTTCCAATTAACATATGCAAACCTGATAATCCTCCCATAAAAAGAACTGCAAGTAATGGCAGAAAGGCACGTATTCACTGGGAACAAGAGGAGGACTTTGAATACATTGGTTTGTTTTTTTGCACATCAGTGGAATGAATTTAAATGAGCTCTGAAATGCCAACAGCTGAAACAATGATGAAGACAAAAACAGGAGGAAAATCAGAGCGGTGCTTTCTTCATTGTCAAAATGAGCAGATTACAGCTGAGTCTCCCATCCTGACAGCTCGCTCTCCCTTCTTCTTTAAACTTCTGCATATCTTCAGTTAGGAGCACTGTATCTGTGATGATTGGTGAGAAAATGTGAGACTCATCTCAATTATGAAACATGTTAGCTTTTCTTTTTGCGAGAAAGCCTCTGCAAACAGTTCAAGTGACGGGCTGTCTGAGAAACACTTACACGCAGCAATATAAATCAACATAATGATCAACTTGGTTCAACATGACACTTGACATAAATCAATATGAAATCTGAAGAGAGCACACTCAGAAAAATAAATCAGAAATACTGATTATCTTATAAAACCAATTATTAAAAAGATGAGACCCAGTGTAAATATTTGGTGCCTGCAACATGTTCCAGAGGAGTTGGAACTGGGATAACAAAACACTGTGAAGAAGTTCACCACTCTGTGAAGGACTGTGTGAGCAAATAGTTTTGAAATAATATTAGCATAAAAAGTTGCACAGATTCAGAGAATCTGGACAAAGGGGAAAAAGACCAAAACCAATACTGGACGGCCCTGATTTTTGGAGACGATACATCATAAACATGCATAACTCTGTAGTGTAAGTCACTGCATGGGCTGAAAATCTTTTTCAGAGACCACTGATCATGAAAACATCTCATCACTACATCCACAGATGCACAATTACACTGAACCATGGAAAAAGAAACCCAGATATAAACATGATAAATAAAACAAAAGGGGGACAGAAATCAGTATCAGATGGTTGTGGTCTGTTTTAAATTACTGCATTACATGACTCTGTCGTAGAAGTCACTAAATAGACTCAAAATGCAATCAGACCAAGATGCTAAAGCAGAAGAACTACTGTGTCTGCAGTGTACATACAAGATACACAAGAATTCTGATTACATTTCCATGAAGTAATAATCATAAATGTTCTTCCTTGAGCTGCAAAACTCCGCTGCATTCTGTGATCGACTCATCAGGGTTCACCCACAAATAAGTGGCTGCTGGAGCAGAGTGGGTGAGTTGTGTTTAGTCTCTTTGCTAAAAAAATCAGGTAAAGCTAAAAAGATGTTTGGTGGCTAGTACTGTCTGAAGCCTTATATGTCCTGTTGATGAAGTTAGGTGCTGTTCTGAGCATTATTTGTGGTTATAGAGTGGCTTTTTGGTTGAGTGTTGTTTATGGATACATAGACCGCTGTGTATTGTTATTGTGCGGCCGTTAACAAAGTTGGTATAACTAGAGAGGCTAGCAGTCAGCAACATTCATCTCTCGAGGGGGTGTCTAACTTGGAGTTACAGTGTGTTTGACTCTTACTTAAACTTGTGCCTGAATATCCCTTACCCCCCCCCCCCCCCCCCCAAAAAAAAAAAATTAAAAATAAAATAAAATAAAATAAAATAAAAATAAATAAATAAAAAATAATAATAATAAATTAAATTAAATTAAATTAAATTAAAAAAGAAGACACAATGGAAAACCCTAACTATTGAGTGGCTGAAATCTTTAATTTGGCACAAACAGGACAACATTTTACTTTCCAAAACTCCAGAAACATTTAAAAAGTGTTGTTAACATATCAAGTGATGAAACACAAACACTAACCATTATACTATCCCATGTTTTTTGACATTACCTCTGACTTTTTTTATCCACACAAAATTTTAGTTTCATCCCTAAGTTCTGATTTTATGGGCAGGGGAAAAGTCAGGACTCTACCTTTTAATCTTCAAAAGGTCCTGCTTTTTAAACATTTTGCTCTATTGGCCTTCCATAGCTTCCTCTGTGATGATTGGATTAATGATGTTCATTCAGTGGAAATGAACCTCAGCTAAATTTAAACCTCAGTCAGTCTGGATAAAAAGTGATTGACGGGTGTGAGGTGTGGATAACATGTGGAGGAAACACGCTGGTTTGTTTGTTTCTCCATGGCCTGATAAACAAAGGTCAGAGGGGGTTTTGGCGACTGATGACAAAAGACGCAGCTCAAAAAACACATTCCAGTCTGCTTCCGCTCCAGCTCACATGCTCAATCCAGAGATTTATCCTGTCAAAGGCAGAGAGAAAGTGTGACATTATCACCTCCTTTAGACTTAGGGGGACAAGGGCCAGGGCAGACAGGCGGAGGGACTGGGAAATCTTACAGGGAGTCCATCAGAAACACACACCTGCTTTTAACAGAACTGACATACTATTAGGTAATATTGTTCTTCAAACTTTTTACAGGGTAGATAATGCAGACAGCGATGCTCAGGGAGAAAAAAATGACATCATTATATATGAAGCTAAGTGGACTACAACTTTTTAGATAACCATACTCACTGCCCCGCATGCAGCACCAAGGTGGTTAAAAATTCACACTTTATCAGAGCACTGTGTCAATTCATGGGAGCCTTTTACACATGCACTGTACTGCATATTTTAGGAAGGCTGCACATTTGAAAGCAAACAGTCGGATATTTTTACCCCACATTTATTCAGATATTTTTTCTGATTGTGAGGCAAGGCAGGATGAGTATTTCGGCAATATCAAGGAATTAATATTAACATTTAGAGAACAAAGTTGTAATATTACAAGAATAAAGTTATAGTAAAATAATAGTTTTTAGATGGATTAACTTATTTAAAAGAGGATGTCATTTAAAAGGCAGCCTGCCCCCTCTTTTTTCCCTCATCCAGCAAACCCTTGACAACAGCTGTAACATGTATGCTAATTGTTAACTTGTTGAATTGTTTTTCTCTTTATTCAAGGACTTTACTTTTATAATGTAATGACTTTATTCTAAATAGATAACTTATTAATTCTTGTTACAATTGTATCCTCAGCAAATAACAAGTTCATTCTTGTAACATGATGACTTTATTCTTAACATAGCCTCTTAATTCTTTGAAACATGACAGCTTCATTTTTTTATATTATAACTTTTTCCTCTTTAATGTGAAGGCTTTATTCTTTGAAATGTTAAAACTTTAGTCTTGTAAGATCACAACTTAATTCTTACTGACATAATAACTTAATTCTCCTGAATTAACGACTATTTCCTTTTAAGAGTAATTTGCTTTAACAATATGATGACTTTATTGTCTTTGCATCACAACCTAATTCTTAAGACCTATTCTTGTTACTGTTTTCATAACCCCTCGATTATCGCAACATTATGACTTAATTACTCTTTACAACTTAATTCTCATTATCATAAGCAGCGATTTGAGTACTCTTGCAGTCATATTGTAAACATCTAGTTTTTGTTCAAACACAAAAGTCAAGTCAGCATTTGCAGGCCAGATCCTCAAAAATCCCAAATCTGTTTTGCAGAGGTTTTCAGAAATGTTGTGTTTTCAGGGAGTAATCAGTTTTCTGTGCAGATGAGTTGAAGGCATTTTTCTGGACCTGAATAATGTTAAAAAGAGGATCATTACTACAGATCCAACAGCATCTTGATATCCTTGGAAACCAGCGAGGAGCATGCTCAGTAATGA